GGGAGCCTAGAAGAACCTTCATTTGGATGCACCATATGTCATAATTTTCTTTTGTCAATCTGGGGATCTGGAGTTGGATGACACTTGAGGAAGAGGCCATAACATAACCTATGCTCTGATACCAAATGTTGATGTTGATAGGAAGAGAGGATAGAGATATCAAATAGAGGAAGAGTATGACATGCTTTCAATCTTCTATATTTCTCTCAAGAAAAACACTTTTACAAATTTTAGAAACTCTATTGACTCATGACCCAACATATGAGGTTTATATAGTTCCCAAAGATACATTATATTAATTGTATTCAAAATGAATCATTCTCTTTCAAGAAACCCTTTCAAGAACCAATAACCAATTTGACTTGTCCTTCCATAGACTTTTAATCCATTTTTTCTTCTTGATGTATTGAATCTCCCTCTTGATGCAATGAACCTCTTTTGATGAAATGAATCTCTTTATGATACTTGAACAAGTTTAATTCCAACAGTCCCCACCTACAGAAGGAGCTAGCCCTAGCGATGGGATCGGTCCGACGGAAGATTCTGTAGATGGCTCTAGGTTGACCCTCACTCAAGTTCTCTGAGCCACCTCTTGCGAGCTTGATTGCTCTAGGAAGGGAGGGACACTCTCCGGTGGATTATAAGAATCCATATCAACCAATACAGAGGTCACTGGGAGCCCTAGCGGGTGACAACAAAGCAAAGCTCTAAAAGCTAGTAATACAATGACAAAAGCTCCACCATATAAAGACCTCAGAACAAGCTTGGTGACGATAAGAATGGCTCATCTTCAACAAAGCAATGCTCATACGAATTCGTTTGGGGACGATGCGAAACCCAAAATGAAGTCCACCACGGAAGACGAACCTCCAATCATCAGATGATAGCAAGGGCTCGGAAAAAGGGTGCAACCTCCTAAGCAGATCCGGCCTCAGAACAGCTGACGACCCCCTTCATGATTAAAAGACACAAGCAATGCAAACCCTGAAGAAGGGAGGACGAATCATGGCCCAATTGGCACCATAGGCAATGTACCTTGACAACAATAAGCACCACCCACGACAGCATCACCCACAGCCATTAACCTAATGCGACGAGTCCCTCATCCCACGAACGTGATCGAGCAAGAACCCGCTGTAATGGATCCCTCCTCCCGCGGACATGGTCGAGCAAGAACCCGCTACGACGGGTTCCTTCTCCCGCCCATGCAATCGAGCCAAAACTTGCTACAATGGGTCCCTCCTCTCGTGAATGTGGTCGAGCAAGAACCCGCTGCGATGGATCCCTCCTCTTACGGATGCAGTCGAGCAAAAAATCACTACGATGGGTCCCTCCTCCCACGGACACGATCGAGCAAGAACCCATTGTGACGGGTCCCTTCGCCGGCTACGGCAGACTGATCCTGGCACTCTCGGGGGAGCAGAAGAGGAAGAGGAGGGTGCAGCCTCAGTGTCTCCTTAATGATCATCCTCAGGTAGTTCATCTCGTTGATGTCCTCCTCCCTCACCCTTCCCTTTCCTCCGACGGTCACCCTCACCTCCTGTTGCACCCTCTTCATCGCACCTGGATTTCTCATCAGCTCCGACATGATCCACTCCAGTGTTGTTGCTGTTGTCTCGCCGCCCGCCCCAAATAGATCCTTCACGTTGCCATTCCAAAAGAGAACCAGGAATTAAAACAATCTGATGTCGTTGTCCTGTGAGATTAGGGTTAGGAAGCTTACCAAGATTATAGCTTTGACGGCCACGTCTGTGAACGCGAATGGCAGGCTGCCTTCACGTTGGACTTTGAGTAAGACATCGACCAAGTCCTCCTCCACTTGCTCGGTGGAGTTCCTCTCTCTGTGCTCCTGAATGATGCTGCTCAGGATAGCATCCATCTCGCGGTGTAACCTTGGCAGCTTGAGAGACATGCCACTTAGCAGACTAACGAGCGACGACGATGGGAATAGGTCAACCAAGCTGAAGCCTCCCGATGCCTCCAGTCCTCGGTTTAACACCTGCAGGAACTGCTTCTGATACTTGCACTTCCTCCCGATGATAGCCCTTGCGGCTATGTCATTGGTCATCAGCGCGAACTTGCTACTGAGATTCACGGTGCAACCACTGTTTGACGACAGATCCATGGACCGAACAAAATTGAGCACCTCTTCTTCCCGGATCGAGCGAAAAGACAGGACTCGCTTGATGCTCAGCAGTTCCAGTATGCTCATTTTCCTTATTTCCCTCCAGTAGGATCCGTAGGAGGCGAACGCGGGGCTCTTGTCGCCGTACGAAATCATCGGCCTGCTGGCGAAGCTGACGTCCTGGGTCTTCATGATCTCGGCGGCTGCTTCGGGGGAGGAGACGACGAGGGTGGGAACCTCACCGAGCTTTAGGAGCATGACGGCACCAAATTTCTCGGAGAAGGCACCAAATTTCCTTTTAATTATTGATTTTGAGTCCAAATCAATAATTAAAAGGAAAAAAAAAAGAGGCGTGCACATTGAGGGTTGCGAACGTGAGAGAGGGCAGCGATCGAGCGTGCAGAGAATGGCGGCAGCGCACAGCGAGAGGAAAGAGAGACAGAGAAAGAGGAAGAAGAAAATTAGGATTGTGAGTTTTCTGCTTAATGGTCAAACGTTATCGGTTTTGATTCAAATTTTATGTAGAGAATCATTACAGTAAGCTTTATAATTTTAATAGTATTGATCTACAATTACCCTCTTTGAGATATTTTTTTGTGATATCTACTTTGTGAAACCTAAAATTCTTCTTTTGACGAGATCTTGATGATATATGTTATTCTTGTATCAAGATATATGTTTTTGATATTTATGATCCTTTTGTTATTTTAGAGAAGACTTATTGTAAACATGTTATCATTATTATTGATAGTGAAAGTTTGAGGTGGACTACGGTCCTGTGGTTTTTCCCACATTGAATTTTTCATGTTAAAAATTTGGTTTCACTGTATGATTGATTCATTGCTCTATTGTTTATGCTATTTGGGTTGATATTTACATTTTAATATCAAGTTGATATTTTTCATGCTAAAAATTTGGTCACTGTGTGATTGATTCATTGCTGTACTGTTTATGTTGTTCTGATTGATATTTATATTTTGACAAGAAACTCATTTTAATACAAAGAGAAAAAAGAATTATTTCGTTTTAATATGAATGATAAACAACCGAGGGCATGGTACAAGCTACCTATGAGAGGAAGCTTGAACGGACCCGGAGGAAGACTGGCGTTGCCTCGCCAACTGTAGCTGTGCTTCCTGAGTAGCAGCAGAAGGAGGACGAGGAAGGTGGTGCCGGTGACATCCATGGCTTAACCGACAAGATGATAAGATCAAGAACGTGGTTTAATTGGAATTTAATTAAACTTTTACACTTGAGATAAAGACAACGAGCGTGCCGTCTTTGACCATTGCAGTCCAAACAGCAGATGAGCTGTCTCTATCGAAGTCATCTCCTCTTCCGTAATCATCTACGCGTTACTGTAGGAGTCATCACAAGAAGTTTGACCTGCGCACTATCGAAAACCAGTGTTCAAAGGAATAGTCGACAAAGCTGATCCATGTTGTTGAATTCCATTTATATGCTTAAAAATTTACTAACCCAATCATGTTAAGCTTAGTGCGTTGTCAAACCATACATAGGCCAAGTGAAGTTAACATGGACGAGGATAAAGATTGACCTTCAGATTGACAAACCCTTACGACACATCACATCGATAATGGCAGGACATGACCAACCATATCACATCGATGTTCTTAATTATTTCTAACATTTATAATTACGTTTCCTTCAATGTGTGTTGAGAAAACGATTGAATCTTTTTTTATTTCAGGTCTTTGTCAAAATGTTTTTTTAACCCAATTTATATTGAAAATTTTGAGGTAATGAACACTTACTATTGTCCACGTTATAGATTTTTATATACTCATATTACATATATATATATATATATATATATATATATATATATATATATATATATATATATATATATATTTATATTTCAATTTATGATTATAATACATCTTAACATTTGATTCCATGTATCTTTTTTTTTATATTTTACATTGTTTATTAATGTTATAATGTTTTATTATTTTATATTGATATTATCTTACATCTACTATAGATTATATTTATTTTTCATATATATTTGTATTATTTTGTACAGAGACTTAATAATTGATAACCTATTGGAGACACACGTCAACAACCAAATACCGTCAACATATAATATAACACATCTCCACCACAAAAAATAGGAAGTAGAACCTTAGCCAATTCGATTTATCAATTGACAGTCTTGATTATAATTATCATTTTATTTATTTTTTAAAATAAATTTTAGATTTTATCATGTGATGTGAATATCAGTAACTCGAGTCCAATAGATTAACTGATCTATCAGTTTTATTTGACTTAAATCATTAATTAAAATATTTAAATTAGGTTAGATAATAATGAATTGATCATATCCTTATAAATCAATTTTATAATTATCAATATTTAATATGGGACTAACCAGAAATATTATGGTTTGTAAATCGATAATATGAGATTTAACGTGATCGATATCCAATCAGATATGATAACTATGGAGAGCAGCACCGATCTGTATCAAAACCACGTTGGTGACACAATTTCTAATGGTTTTTGAGCTACCATGACAGCAAGTTTGAGAACATGTTCAATCACATTCGTCTTTAAGCGGTCATTAACAAAGCTCAAGATTCGCCGGGCCACGCTACGTACCTCCTGCATGCATATATATACTCCAAGATTCCCAAGTACTGCACAGTTGTCCACATGAATAATAATTTGGGTGCTTTTGTATTTTCTCTAAGCTGGCTAGAGAGGATGTTTCCAAAGAGAGAAAATAAAAATATATAATTTTTTTTATGTTTATATAAAAGCATATATAATGTAATTATGCTTGAGCTATGATAACTTGTGAAAACTTTATTTTTTATCGTGAATAAGTTATCGAATCATATTAAATCTATTTTATGTTATATTCTTGATTGTGGATCTTTGAAAATTGTATTGGCTCTGCAATTCTACTCTCGTGGAGTTGTTGATATCAGACTCATGTGAATAATCCAACCACCCTTTTATAATATCTAGCTGCTTTCCTCCATTTTGGCGCTTTCGCGACTATGTATACTTATACTGCATGCTTGTTAGAGGAAGCCAAGCCACAACCTTCCTTCCCCGAGCTCTCTTTCTCAAGTCTCAGAACTCGAAGAGCATCGAAGCAATGACGGAGAAGGTGATCAAATTCCTGACCACTCCATTCAGCTTCTTCTTTTCCTTCTATTGTGTTTGTGAGAGTTCAGTTTCGTACATCATATTATTCTTTAGTTTCTATAGTTTGCTGTGAGATCTTCATATTTCTCGGCCTTCGGAGTTGTGAGATCGTCTTATGGTTTGTGTTCGCTTGCATTTACTGTCAGGTCTCCACCTTGATCATAGAAGCAGAT